GCACACAATTTCATATTTGGCGCCGAGGCTAATATTTCAGCCCGGGCTGAAATTTGTTATGTAATCGCAACAAAATTTCAGCCCCCTAGCCGGGCTGAAATTCGCCATGTAATCAGGCCCTAAGGCATGTAGCTGTGCTACAAAGCGTCCACTAGGTCTCGTTTTAACTTTCCATACATCCAGTATCTTATAACTTTGCTATTCATAAGTTGCTCAGAAAATTATTTCCCGTCAGATTCCTATACAATAACTGTAATTTCTGACGCCTTTGCTTACTCGTCAAGTGGCTTTGTGTTGCTTAATAACTTTTAATCGTGACATTTTCATTCACAAACATTAACGGAGTTATTGCAACCTTACATTAACAGTACCACATAAGGGTATTGTCATAGAGCTTTTGTTTAAATGGTCACAAGTAAACATGTACTTATAACTTTTTCAAATGTTGGAACATGTTGCATGAAGTGACTTGAAGACAGCAAACTTTGTCTGACATGTCCTCAGGACATGTTCTTTATGTGACATTCCTCGGGACGCGTTCCGAAGGGTATAGTCATTCCTGAAAAAGTGTAGCCAAAAATCTCCAAAAATTTTACCCATGCATTATTGGGGACTTTTGATCCAAATGTAAGGGCGGTTCGGGGCTTAAAGGCCAAGTTATTTGAGGTAATTCAGGTTTAGTCTCGTTAATTATGAGTTGTAAACTTGCAGAACAAAATTGTAAATTTGCAGAGCAGCAGCTTTTACTTTATTGGCAAAATAAAGTCCATACAGAAAGCAACCATTATTTCGTGACATTATAGAGCGGTTCTCAATTGAGTGTCGAAAAGTAATTGGTTTTACATCTCTACGTTATACGACTGGCTTAAAAAACTCGCGCCACTTTTTCCTCCAATCAGAAGTGAAACCAAAACCAATCGTGACTTGCTTGCAGCGTTTTCCCGCGCTTTACGTCAGCTACATGAAATTACTTCAAATTTTGATTGGTTCACTGTATTGTCTGTCCTTTGTGATTGGTTAGATTGACAACTTTAGTTTTGGTTTTACGACACTCGACTGAAAACCGCTCTAACTGACACTTTTAAACAAATGGAAATGTACTTCATAAAAGTAGTTGGGCCGATGTGTTAAATCTTCTCAAATATTGCACATTCATGACTCTGTTTGCATTTTCTGTGTTTGTCGTGAGTTTTTCTACAGTTTTAAGGCGTCGTGACATTTCAGTTCATTTTATGACGTACAAGTCGGCCGTCATTGCTGAAATTGCCTAAAATTGTGAGGCCTAACCTCTTTAATTCGGCAAGATTTTAATTATGTTAATTGTACATCAGATGATGTCACTGTGGAACTGGTTGGTCGGAGACGACACCTTAACGAGGAAACTTCGTAATTATTCTGTCAAGCACGTGAAAATTTCCGAAGCTGACATGACTCGAACTAAAAAGCTGGTGAAAGATTACATTGAAGACGAGATCATGTGGTATTGTCGCCGAAATTCTACCCTCCCAATCCAGAAACTGGAGTATACTGGAAGCGTGTATGAGAGGCTGAAAACAGAAGCTGCCGATGAAGTAGATGTCATGGTGGTTCTCAAGACGACGAAGCCCTGGTTTTGGGGTGATCCTGAAGTGATGGTAGAAGAAACAGACATACCCGGCTATGTGCGACTCAAGACAACCATGGCTGACTCGAAACTTCGCAAGTATGTGAGTTCCGAAGGGTATATCATTCCTGAGCGTCTTCGAAATGGTTGGTTCTACAGTCTCGTTGATCAAGCAGTAAGAGATTTTAGAGGTAGATCGCCAGATTCTGACGTCAACTTGGTTTTGCGCTGCCATGGGCCAGCTGTTCAGCTAGATATCTTCCAAAAAGGAACTGGCGAGATACTTCTCTCAGCTGATCTGGTCCCATGCTTTGAAATCAGTTCTGATGACTACTTTGTTGCAAAACGTTATACAGGGTCCTACCTCCTTTGGAGACAGTCGTTTTCACTGAAGGAAAAAGAACTGTTACGCCGTATGGATAAAGATGACCACGGCTGCAGACATGAGCTCCTCAGAATCGTGAAAACCATCGTGAAGAGAGAACGGACATCCCTTGGAAGACTGAACTCATACCACTTAAAGACGGCCTTCATGCACTACATTAAAGAGAAGACTGATGACTGGGCAGGCTGGAACTCGCTGGGAGAACACTTCGTTGGCTTTCTCGCGGAGCTTCAAGCTTCTCTGGAGAGAGGAAACCTTCCGCACTACTGGCTACCAGATGTGAATCTTCTAGACGACATCCACCCCGGAGTTGTTGAGCAAATGGCATATCGTTTGAAAAGGATTCTTAACAGTGAGGCAGTGAGAAATGATATTCTTGAATAGCTGCGGAGGACAACTTCCGTTGTGTGTAATACTAAGAAAATTGGAATTATAGGTTAGAATTGCAAAAAAAAAAAAAAAAACCGGAAAGGACAGAATATATTGAGTGTAAGAATCTATGACTAACTGATAAAGTTGTATACGAAAAATCTTGCTAAAAATAAAGTGAAAGACTCACGAGGTCTATATATATTTTAGTTAACTCGATTCTAAGGATTGGAAGAGAGGATTTTTCCACTCAGTACCCCAGGAGTTCCTTTTCGACACACTCAGTCAGGAAATACTTGGCGTGTGCCATATCACTCGTGCTAATTTTACGTGCCTTGCTGAGTAAGCTCGAAGTTTCTGAGTCAAAGTTTGGCTGCGACATTGTTGTTGCTGCAGCTGTTGATGTTGTAACCGGAATGCCATGATCTTTTGACCGAGAAGAACGAAGTAATATCAGTGAAGCTCGTTCATGCTTTTTTGTTCGCCATTTTGAATTGAGGTCACAGACACAAAGACGGTCTTCGTATACAGTCTATACACTGTCTTTATCTCAAATGTCCAATTTGCAAAACCTTTAATAAGGTATTTATAAAATGTTACTTTTATATATATGCGATTAGCATTCGAAGTTTGCACTGGGCAATAAGACAAGCAATTCATCTTACATGTAAATATTGTCTTAAACCAACTTGAGAGTAGAAGGCAAACCTTTTCGCGGTTAAGATCAAGAGAGCTTTCGACTTTCGGAGCTTTTGCTTACGAATTAAAAGCCAGTTATTCATATCGATATGCCGGTGTAGTTGTATTGTGTAAGCTTTCTGTTTTTCCGAGAAAACAACACGATGGGTCCGAGGATCATGACTGTGGTAACGTTTCCCGGAATTATATATTCAAGATTCCGAGAAAACCGGAAGTTCTCATGGGTGACTAATAGCTCATTGTGTTGGCCCTTCGGATTACAATACCGAGGTTTTGTCGTCGAATTCGAGCCTTTTAAACACTACAGAGGTAGGTTGTAAGTCTTCTAAATTACTCTATTTTTAAGATTCCATTTTACATTAAAAACTTCAGGGTTAAAGCAGGCTAAAGCAACGAGGACGGCGACGTAGAGGAGAGGACAACCTGGTTTATATGTTATCTACGAACCTCGTGGTAGATAAAGTGAATCGAACTGAACGCCGGACTCTGTAGGTTATCCCGTCAAGTTAGAGCTATTCCAAAACTGGATATGTTAAGTCAGTTAAGTTCGAAAAAGAAACTTAGATGACGTTGCCGTTCTCGTTCTCGAGACTACGCAGCATTTAGTAATTTCACGTTGTTGGCTGTTGTTGATTGTGAGAGAACAGCAAACATGCAAATGAGGAATCACGGTGTTTATATGCCGCTATAGCTATTCCTGTCGTTGTGGTGTGCTTAATTAAACTCCCTTTTCCCTCAGAATCTCTCAAAAACGTTAGTAAGTCAAAGTTATAGTTTAAAAGGCATCTAGAAGATCAAAATCTTGACAATATCGAAGGAAAGCTAAGGAACAAACAGCACATGAAGGGTTTTATCGGCATGATTTTAATTATGTTCTTTTATACATCAGATGACGTCACTGTGGAACTGGTTGGTAGCAGACTACACTTTAACGAAGAAACTTCGTAAATATTCCGTCAAGCACGTGAAGATTTCCAAAGCTGACATGAGTCGCACTAAAAAGCTGGTAGGAGATTACATTGAAGATGAGATCATGTGGTATTGTCGCCGAAATTCTACCCTCCCAATCCAGAATCTACAATATACTAGAAGCGTGTATGAGAAGCTGAAAACGGAAGCGGCCGAAGAAGTCGATGTCATGGTAGTGCTCAAGACCTATAAACCCTGGTTTTGGGGTGATCCTGAAGTGATAGTAGAAGAAACAGACATACCAGGCTATGTGCGACTCAAGACAACTATGGCTGACTCGAAACTTCGCAAGTACGTGAATTCGGAAGGGTATATCATTCCTGAGCGTCTACGAAATGGTTGGTTCTACAGTCTCGTTGATCAAGCAGTAAGAGATTTTAGAGGTAGATCGCCAGATTCTGACGTCAACTTGGTTTTGCGCTACCATGGGCCAGCTGTTCAGCTAGATATCTTCCAAAAAGGAACTGGCGAGATACTTCTCTCAGCTGATCTTGTGCCATGCTTAGAAAGTAATTCCGGTCATTACTTCGTTGCAAAACGTTATGCAGGGTCTGACCTCCTTTGGAGGCGGTCGTTTTCACGGGAGGAGAAATATCTGTTATGGGGTATGGATAGAGATGATCACGGCTGCAGACATGAGCTCCTCAGAATCGTGAAAACCATCGTGAAGAGGGAACGGACATCCCTTGGACGACTGCACTCATACCACTTGAAGACCGCCTTCATGCACTACATTAAAGAGAAGCCTAATAACTGGGCAGGCTGGAACTCGCTGGGGAAACACTTCGTTGGCTTTCTCGCTGAGCTTCAAGCTTCCCTGGAGAGAGGAAGCCTTCCGCACTACTGGCTACCAAAAGTGAATGTTCTATATGACATCCACCACGGAGTTGTCGAGCAAATGGCATATCGTTTGAAAAGGATCCTCAACAGTGAAGCAGTGAGAAATGATATTCTCGAGCTAGAAGAAAAGGGGAACCAGCAGCTTCAACGAGGAATTGCCGAAAGAGACCATAACCGTCCTGTCTGTTTAGTACCTTTGCACTGTTTGATTTGTGTGCTTTTTTGCTTGTTTGTTTGTTCGATGTTTTGCGAACTAACCAAGAGCAATTAGCACTAACATTTGTCACAAGAGTTGTATGAATCGTCCTGCCTGTATATACCGTTGTATACCGTTCTTGTTTCAGATAACATAACAGTGACCATAAATATCGATATGCACTTGCTTCTGCTAGAAATTTTCTACAATTCTATGTTTTAATGATAAATAAAGTTCAGAGGTCAAAAGAAGTGGGGAAATCCCCGATTGAACACGTCATCTTCCAGTTTCTAAATATTTGAATGACGCATGCCTCCATCTTTAATTACTTCAGGAAATAGCCCAAACAAAATACGTTCGCTGATTGGTTAAAAGTCATGTTTCCATTAAACAATCAGATTATGAGCGCGAGATTTCCATCGCGTGATAGCTGACGAGGGCGCAGCCCGAGTCAACTATCACGCATAGAAATCGAGAACGCATAATCTAATTGTTTTAGTATAAATCTACTAGTCGTTCAAAACTTTATCGCAATCCTCATCACAGACACTTTAAAAACGCCAAGAAGCGGCCGTCATTTTGCTAACGCTACTCACTATCTATGACCGAATAGACAGTGAATAGCGTAGCCAATCAGAGAACGGCAGTCGTGATAGAACGCTAGTAGATTTATACTGAAGCAGAATAGATAGTGAGTAGCGCAGCAGTGTGCCCTTGTTAAAGAAAATGACGGCCGCTTCTTGGCGTGTCTGTTAAGAGGATTTAGATATAGTTTTGAACGAGTAGTAGATTTATACTAGAACAATTAGATTACTCGCTCTCGATTTCTATGCGTGATAGTTGACTCGGGCTGCGCCCTCGTCAACTATCACGTGACAGAAATCGATAGCGAGTAATCTAATTGCATTGAAAAGCCTGTCGGCTCTTGTTACCAAATCATTTCTCGTTCTCCCAAAATTACACTCGTTTCTATAACTCGATAGAAACACGGTACATGTCTTCTTTTCTTAAATTCCATCGTTTCTTGAATATACAGAAAAACAGTAAGAAAGGACGAATGGTTACAGAATTTTAATCCTCTACGCGTAAAGGCCTTATTCGTAACATAATACCTGTCAAGTTTTTCTTTAGATCACTCCCGATTTCTGAATTCCCAGGAGGGTGATGCGAAATTTGCTCCCACGGATAACCCAAGCGGGTTCACAGGCATTTTCATCTAGATCTGCCAAAAAGACTGATATCGTACAAAACACCTGTGTTATCATTATGTGCTGAGAGAACCGGATTTTAGAGGAATTACCTTGAGAAAAAGACTTTGTGGAGGATTATCTCTACCTTAATTTTACAACAACATAATTGGCCAAATTATATGATTTGTAAATTTCAAGTCCTCAAGTTCTACAAACGTCACACTTACACACACACTTTATTTCAAGTTCCAGTTAAGAAAATAAATATACAATTGTGGACTTATCCGTGGGTAGCATTCGGCTAATCTAGGCGGATCAGTTTCAGACTTCAGGTCCAATCTTCCAATATGACGCGGAAACCGATGACTCTGAACGTTAAGTGAAACCAGTGAAACACGTCAAGGAGTTTAAACGCTATCTTAAAGCATGATATAGGAACATGTTCCGCAAATGCGTAAATAACCTATTGTTATTAAGTTCCAATATAATGGGGAGTACCCCTGCCAAAACAACATTTCAAACCCTGAAAAGTTCGAAGGGGTAACTGAAAGTCGTTATCAACGGTTAAAAACTCAGACGTACCTACTTGGACTACACGTGACACTAAAAGTCGTTTTTACAAACGTACTTGGTATACAGCTTTCATTCCTGGTCTTCAAATTCCAATGTGACATCGTCGCCGATTAGTTGAAACGCAGCCCAGTGTTCGACGCCACAAAACTCCGTTGATTCTTTAAGATATTTCGTGGCCTGATTCAAAGCCACACTGGCCCTTTCTCCTGCCATCAGGTGTTCGTAGAAACTCTTCATGAACTTCAGAGTAGCCTCGTCGCTATTCTCCCATAATGACACCAAAACACAACGAGCACCTGCGGCCAGAAAGGCCCTCGCAATACCTACTGCACCCTCTAACTTTATCTTCCCTTGCGCGCTATGGCAGGAACTTAGTACAACTAGCCGTGCACGCAGCTGAATGGCTATCACATCGGCCATCGTCAGCAAATAGTCGTGCATCTCTGGTTCTTGGGATGGCCTTGAAGGGTTTGGGGTCAACAGAATTTCTCCGTTTTCATCGCTACCTTGTGCTGCAATGTGTACCAGTGTGACCGACGTAAGGCGCTTCAGCACTTCTTCCTTTGTTGCAGCCTTTCCAATGAGGGGTTTACTGTTAAGAATCTCTCCAATTGACTTGACTTCCTCTTCAGCCTTTGGAAGATACCAATTCCACGGCTCAGGGGTAACAATCTCCTCCAAACACGGATTGCCCACAAGTAAAACGCCTTTTTTACTGTGGTACTCTGCAGAATCTGCTATCAGTTTCAAACTGGTCAACGAAGGAACGACTCGGACTCTGAAAGATTCACAAAGGTACCTAGAACTGGGATCCATGAATGCAGCAAAAGGAGTTACACATAGTGGACCATCTGGAACGATGACTAACTCGTCTCCTTCAAGACCTTCAAGCAAGTCTGCAACTGGGCTTATCACGACCTCGTGCCAAATTCGTAATGCCTTCGACATCAACAGTGCCCTTTGATGTCTTGTATGTTCAGCTTCAGCAGAAGCAGCCGTCATTGAATTAATTTCGTCCTCAGTAAGAGGATAGGCAGCCTGTCTTAACGANAAAAAAAAAAAAAAAACCGGAAAGGACAGAATATATTGAGTGTAAGAATCTATGACTAACTGATAAAGTTGTATACGAAAAATCTTGCTAAAAATAAAGTGAAAGACTCACGAGGTCTATATATATTTTAGTTAACTCGATTCTAAGGATTGGAAGAGAGGATTTTTCCACTCAGTACCCCAGGAGTTCCTTTTCGACACACTCAGTCAGGAAATACTTGGCGTGTGCCATATCACTCGTGCTAATTTTACGTGCCTTGCTGAGTAAGCTCGAAGTTTCTGAGTCAAAGTTTGGCTGCGACATTGTTGTTGCTGCAGCTGTTGATGTTGTAACCGGAATGCCATGATCTTTTGACCGAGAAGAACGAAGTAATATCAGTGAAGCTCGTTCATGCTTTTTTGTTCGCCATTTTGAATTGAGGTCACAGACACAAAGACGGTCTTCGTATACAGTCTATACACTGTCTTTATCTCAAATGTCCAATTTGCAAAACCTTTAATAAGGTATTTATAAAATGTTACTTTTATATATATGCGATTAGCATTCGAAGTTTGCACTGGGCAATAAGACAAGCAATTCATCTTACATGTAAATATTGTCTTAAACCAACTTGAGAGTAGAAGGCAAACCTTTTCGCGGTTAAGATCAAGAGAGCTTTCGACTTTCGGAGCTTTTGCTTACGAATTAAAAGCCAGTTATTCATATCGATATGCCGGTGTAGTTGTATTGTGTAAGCTTTCTGTTTTTCCGAGAAAACAACACGATGGGTCCGAGGATCATGACTGTGGTAACGTTTCCCGGAATTATATATTCAAGATTCCGAGAAAACCGGAAGTTCTCATGGGTGACTAATAGCTCATTGTGTTGGCCCTTCGGATTACAATACCGAGGTTTTGTCGTCGAATTCGAGCCTTTTAAACACTACAGAGGTAGGTTGTAAGTCTTCTAAATTACTCTATTTTTAAGATTCCATTTTACATTAAAAACTTCAGGGTTAAAGCAGGCTAAAGCAACGAGGACGGCGACGTAGAGGAGAGGACAACCTGGTTTATATGTTATCTACGAACCTCGTGGTAGATAAAGTGAATCGAACTGAACGCCGGACTCTGTAGGTTATCCCGTCAAGTTAGAGCTATTCCAAAACTGGATATGTTAAGTCAGTTAAGTTCGAAAAAGAAACTTAGATGACGTTGCCGTTCTCGTTCTCGAGACTACGCAGCATTTAGTAATTTCACGTTGTTGGCTGTTGTTGATTGTGAGAGAACAGCAAACATGCAAATGAGGAATCACGGTGTTTATATGCCGCTATAGCTATTCCTGTCGTTGTGGTGTGCTTAATTAAACTCCCTTTTCCCTCAGAATCTCTCAAAAACGTTAGTAAGTCAAAGTTATAGTTTAAAAGGCATCTAGAAGATCAAAATCTTGACAATATCGAAGGAAAGCTAAGGAACAAACAGCACATGAAGGGTTTTATCGGCATGATTTTAATTATGTTCTTTTATACATCAGATGACGTCACTGTGGAACTGGTTGGTAGCAGACTACACTTTAACGAAGAAACTTCGTAAATATTCCGTCAAGCACGTGAAGATTTCCAAAGCTGACATGAGTCGCACTAAAAAGCTGGTAGGAGATTACATTGAAGATGAGATCATGTGGTATTGTCGCCGAAATTCTACCCTCCCAATCCAGAATCTACAATATACTAGAAGCGTGTATGAGAAGCTGAAAACGGAAGCGGCCGAAGAAGTCGATGTCATGGTAGTGCTCAAGACCTATAAACCCTGGTTTTGGGGTGATCCTGAAGTGATAGTAGAAGAAACAGACATACCAGGCTATGTGCGACTCAAGACAACTATGGCTGACTCGAAACTTCGCAAGTACGTGAATTCGGAAGGGTATATCATTCCTGAGCGTCTACGAAATGGTTGGTTCTACAGTCTCGTTGATCAAGCAGTAAGAGATTTTAGAGGTAGATCGCCAGATTCTGACGTCAACTTGGTTTTGCGCTACCATGGGCCAGCTGTTCAGCTAGATATCTTCCAAAAAGGAACTGGCGAGATACTTCTCTCAGCTGATCTTGTGCCATGCTTAGAAAGTAATTCCGGTCATTACTTCGTTGCAAAACGTTATGCAGGGTCTGACCTCCTTTGGAGGCGGTCGTTTTCACGGGAGGAGAAATATCTGTTATGGGGTATGGATAGAGATGATCACGGCTGCAGACATGAGCTCCTCAGAATCGTGAAAACCATCGTGAAGAGGGAACGGACATCCCTTGGACGACTGCACTCATACCACTTGAAGACCGCCTTCATGCACTACATTAAAGAGAAGCCTAATAACTGGGCAGGCTGGAACTCGCTGGGGAAACACTTCGTTGGCTTTCTCGCTGAGCTTCAAGCTTCCCTGGAGAGAGGAAGCCTTCCGCACTACTGGCTACCAAAAGTGAATGTTCTATATGACATCCACCACGGAGTTGTCGAGCAAATGGCATATCGTTTGAAAAGGATCCTCAACAGTGAAGCAGTGAGAAATGATATTCTCGAGCTAGAAGAAAAGGGGAACCAGCAGCTTCAACGAGGAATTGCCGAAAGAGACCATAACCGTCCTGTCTGTTTAGTACCTTTGCACTGTTTGATTTGTGTGCTTTTTTGCTTGTTTGTTTGTTCGATGTTTTGCGAACTAACCAAGAGCAATTAGCACTAACATTTGTCACAAGAGTTGTATGAATCGTCCTGCCTGTATATACCGTTGTATACCGTTCTTGTTTCAGATAACATAACAGTGACCATAAATATCGATATGCACTTGCTTCTGCTAGAAATTTTCTACAATTCTATGTTTTAATGATAAATAAAGTTCAGAGGTCAAAAGAAGTGGGGAAATCCCCGATTGAACACGTCATCTTCCAGTTTCTAAATATTTGAATGACGCATGCCTCCATCTTTAATTACTTCAGGAAATAGCCCAAACAAAATACGTTCGCTGATTGGTTAAAAGTCATGTTTCCATTAAACAATCAGATTATGAGCGCGAGATTTCCATCGCGTGATAGCTGACGAGGGCGCAGCCCGAGTCAACTATCACGCATAGAAATCGAGAACGCATAATCTAATTGTTTTAGTATAAATCTACTAGTCGTTCAAAACTTTATCGCAATCCTCATCACAGACACTTTAAAAACGCCAAGAAGCGGCCGTCATTTTGCTAACGCTACTCACTATCTATGACCGAATAGACAGTGAATAGCGTAGCCAATCAGAGAACGGCAGTCGTGATAGAACGCTAGTAGATTTATACTGAAGCAGAATAGATAGTGAGTAGCGCAGCAGTGTGCCCTTGTTAAAGAAAATGACGGCCGCTTCTTGGCGTGTCTGTTAAGAGGATTTAGATATAGTTTTGAACGAGTAGTAGATTTATACTAGAACAATTAGATTACTCGCTCTCGATTTCTATGCGTGATAGTTGACTCGGGCTGCGCCCTCGTCAACTATCACGTGACAGAAATCGATAGCGAGTAATCTAATTGCATTGAAAAGCCTGTCGGCTCTTGTTACCAAATCATTTCTCGTTCTCCCAAAATTACACTCGTTTCTATAACTCGATAGAAACACGGTACATGTCTTCTTTTCTTAAATTCCATCGTTTCTTGAATATACAGAAAAACAGTAAGAAAGGACGAAGGGTTACAGAATTTTAATCCTCTACGCGTAAAGGCCTTATTCGTAACATAATACCTGTCAAGTTTTTCTTTAGATCACTCCCGATTTCTGAATTCCCAGGAGGGTGATGCGAAATTTGCTCCCACGGATAACCCAAGCGGGTTCACAGGCATTTTCATCTAGATCTGCCAAAAAGACTGATATCGTACAAAACACCTGTGTTATCATTATGTGCTGAGAGAACCGGATTTTAGAGGAATTACCTTGAGAAAAAGACTTTGTGGAGGATTATCTCTACCTTAATTTTACAACAACATAATTGGCCAAATTATATGATTTGTAAATTTCAAGTCCTCAAGTTCTACAAACGTCACACTTACACACACACTTTATTTCAAGTTCCAGTTAAGAAAATAAATATACAATTGTGGACTTATCCGTGGGTAGCATTCGGCTAATCTAGGCGGATCAGTTTCAGACTTCAGGTCCAATCTTCCAATATGACGCGGAAACCGATGACTCTGAACGTTAAGTGAAACCAGTGAAACACGTCAAGGAGTTTAAACGCTATCTTAAAGCATGATATAGGAACATGTTCCGCAAATGCGTAAATAACCTATTGTTATTAAGTTCCAATATAATGGGGAGTACCCCTGCCAAAACAACATTTCAAACCCTGAAAAGTTCGAAGGGGTAACTGAAAGTCGTTATCAACGGTTAAAAACTCAGACGTACCTACTTGGACTACACGTGACACTAAAAGTCGTTTTTACAAACGTACTTGGTATACAGCTTTCATTCCTGGTCTTCAAATTCCAATGTGACATCGTCGCCGATTAGTTGAAACGCAGCCCAGTGTTCGACGCCACAAAACTCCGTTGATTCTTTAAGATATTTCGTGGCCTGATTCAAAGCCACACTGGCCCTTTCTCCTGCCATCAGGTGTTCGTAGAAACTCTTCATGAACTTCAGAGTAGCCTCGTCGCTATTCTCCCATAATGACACCAAAACACAACGAGCACCTGCGGCCAGAAAGGCCCTCGCAATACCTACTGCACCCTCTAACTTTATCTTCCCTTGCGCGCTATGGCAGGAACTTAGTACAACTAGCCGTGCACGCAGCTGAATGGCTATCACATCGGCCATCGTCAGCAAATAGTCGTGCATCTCTGGTTCTTGGGATGGCCTTGAAGGGTTTGGGGTCAACAGAATTTCTCCGTTTTCATCGCTACCTTGTGCTGCAATGTGTACCAGTGTGACCGACGTAAGGCGCTTCAGCACTTCTTCCTTTGTTGCAGCCTTTCCAATGAGGGGTTTACTGTTAAGAATCTCTCCAATTGACTTGACTTCCTCTTCAGCCTTTGGAAGATACCAATTCCACGGCTCAGGGGTAACAATCTCCTCCAAACACGGATTGCCCACAAGTAAAACGCCTTTTTTACTGTGGTACTCTGCAGAATCTGCTATCAGTTTCAAACTGGTCAACGAAGGAACGACTCGGACTCTGAAAGATTCACAAAGGTACCTAGAACTGGGATCCATGAATGCAGCAAAAGGAGTTACACATAGTGGACCATCTGGAACGATGACTAACTCGTCTCCTTCAAGACCTTCAAGCAAGTCTGCAACTGGGCTTATCACGACCTCGTGCCAAATTCGTAATGCCTTCGACATCAACAGTGCCCTTTGATGTCTTGTATGTTCAGCTTCAGCAGAAGCAGCCGTCATTGAATTAATTTCGTCCTCAGTAAGAGGATAGGCAGCCTGTCTTAACGAAGAAAACGACAACACGACATCTTCTTCTAATTGCCTGCTACCGATTTCACCTTTTCTAAAATGAACCTCATTTCCTTTGAGAACCCAGATGTTAATTTCGTTTTTGTCGATTGCTAGAAAAAGGGTGGTCGATGAAAGATTCGACAAAATGTTGCCAACGATAGATTCCTGTCTGTCTAAAAAAGATCGATTTGTTTCAAATTCATGTTCTGAAGTACGATCCTCATCGCTGTTAATTGGCAGAAGAACGGAATCAGATGAAAGCTGCATGTCGGCAGCGACGTTATCCTCCGTGTCTGCGTCAGATTGGCCAGTTTCAGACTCATACTTTGACTTCATTAGATCTTTCAAAACTTGAGCACGTCCTTTCTCCGCAACAGCGAGAGCTTTTTGAATCTTGTTTTGTTTCAACAGAATTCTGCAGACAGCAATGATTACAAGTTTATACTCATTTTGAACGTTAATTTTGCATTCATCTTTCAGCTGACCTCGACTTCGTATGTCCTCAAAAATGTTCAAACTTGTCTGGAAACAATTCAAAGCTTCGTCTAAACTACCTTTAGATTCCAAGCTACAACCTAGCAGATAACTCGCATTTCCCTCTTCCGCGCTATCTTTCACTTCTTTGGCAATAATCAGATTCAATTCTTGGCACTTTATAGCCTTGTCGCTAAAACCCAGGTTTAAATAAAGATTGCCAAGGTTGCCATATGCAATTCCTTCACCAGCTTTGTCTCCAAGCTCCTTGGCAATACTTAGATCTCGGCTGTGGTGTGTAATGGCATCTTCAAATAGACCGTCATGAAAATAGCTATTACCAAGATTACGGCTCGCTTTTCCTATTTTGGTCTTGTCTCCTATTTCTTCAGCAACATCAAGTTCCCTTTTGTACCATTTAATGGCTGATTTAAAATCGCCCATGCTGTAACAAGCGTTGCCAAGATTTTCGCACACTCTGCCTTCCTCGTTCCTGTTTCCAGTTTCCAGGGTAATCTGGAGGTGTTGTTCATGATAGTATATTGCCTGTTCGAAATTCTCGAGACCATGATGGTCTTCGCCAAGCTTACCGCACGCACGTCCATGTCCAGCTCTGTCTCCTAATAAGACAGTATTAAGATACAGCTCGTGGTAATGTAATGCTTCTTTAAAATCTCCAAGATTGTAATAATCATCGCCAATGTTGCAATACATTTGTCCTTGGTTCGCCTTATTTCCCACCTTTTGGACACCATCAAGAATGGCGGGGTTATAGAAAGTCTCATTCTGTTAGATATGAAATCATCAGAAAGGACTGATAAGTCCTTAAAAAAGTCTTCTACCTATTTTGTAACAATCATTTCACTAGGACACGTACGTTCTGTGGTGACTTGCTTGACAATAGCCACAATCAGTGATCACGATCAAAACAGGTTAAATGTGTTGATTACAGCTATTTTACTTATTCCGAGAGATAATTCAGTTGTTTCACAGTAAGTTACTATAGACATTAATATTATTGTTACACTGAAATGAATGTATTGGAGATGATTTTTTTAATGTAAATAAATATGCTGATTAGTAGCTAGTCATCGTGTTCTGTTGCAATTCCGCATGATCTGATCGTTCCCCTGGACAATGTCTGTTCAGTAGCGTGGGTTATTTCACTGGGGCTCGTTGTCCAAGTGTTGAATGTATCAGATATCTACAAGTATTAAAATGAATAACTTTTACCTCTGTTCGGCCGGCAAAATCTTCCCGTCTAGTAGAGACTCCCCTAGTTGCTGACATTTAGATTGTGTTCCACTTTTGGTGATCTGAAAGAAAAGGTTATTGTCCGTGTTTGTCATTAAAAGTTTGATATAAATGCTAGTCACGATGTTTGGGTGGGTAAACAAAGTAACGACAGCACGCTATGTTTGTTCGCCTCAAATGATGACGGAAAACAGCTGCCTTACATTACCATAACGTTGCGAGAAAACTTTTGATCTGGAAGAACTCGAAAGAGCTTCACGCAGCTCCTGAGACCACAGTTATCACGAAGCATTGCCATTTTGTATGTAAGGGGGGAAAGCCATTGGTAGATTAAGAAGACGGGGTCTACTATGCCTAATACATCCAACCACAGAAGGTCCCACATTCTCACACACCAGCTTTTTAACAAGAGACGTTCAACCTTCACTCCCCGCACAGGTGGCAGCAGGGAATGACCCATGTTCAATTCGGCCTTTACACCCCGTTTTTGACCACATCTTGATCCACTACCCGGGGGGACTACTCTCGTAAATTTCAGATTGGTGTGTGCCGCGAAAGGTCTTGAACCCTGACCCTATTTAAGGATGAAGCAAACGTAAACTGATATAGTAATTAAGGCGTAAATCCGAAAAATGACACCCAATTCAAGGGAAAAACAAAAACTGAGAATGGTGTGAACGGGTCAACTCTATTTCGTTTCTGTGACATTGGAAGTTAAACATCAAGCATATAGTTTGTTTTTCGTTAAACTGGGCATTTACGCACTGGAATTTTAGCTGATATAATTTAGGTATCCTCTCTCAGTATCACGTAGGGAGCACAATGCCAACAAGGGCAAAGATGATACCCTATTTAAGGATCTGGAACCTCGAAAACCTTACGCTATCCCGCGGCTCATACCTATATAGCCCATATATGGGGTACGCCCCCGGATCCATCACTATAAAACTATGCATAACCATCATTTTATTTGTGCAATGTACATATGAGTAAGCAAGAGTTCTATTTCCTATGCCGTCTACGGATTTATTTGCGTGTTCAAATTACAGCACAGACTCGGATACAGACGTTATGGTGATCGACACCTTACTTTACCGACTTAGCTTGAGTGTGTGTATATATATAGAAACAAGAACAGCACCAGACAAACAACAACAACAACAACGTTATTTGTACTCAAAATTAAAGAAATTAAAAGAAATTAAATGAACAAAAATTAAAATTAAATAAACATACAAACGAACCAACTTACAAGTAAATAGTCATATTGTGCTCTTCAGGTTTTAAAGACCCAGTAGTGACCATAATGCTTTTCGCGCGTCGGTTATTGTTTGGGTAGACATCATAGCGATGTTTCTTTTGTTTTCCAATGTTCACAGCGCGCAAAGCATCCTAGGCCGGCCAAAACTAGGTCTTTAAGAATGAAAACCAGAAAAAATTGAGGCTGTTTAATCTCGCAACATACTTCTGTTTATTTACCCTGATACAGTTTTACATAATTTATGTTTTTTTTTTTAGAATTCCTTTTGAGACAACTAAGAATTTTGCTTGTATGTGCTCCATTATTTCTCGCAGTTTATGGCTACCGTGTTGGTACTATAAAATTCAGTTGCCTAAACTGAATCGAAGTGCTAAAATAGCACAATATACAACCATATTAATTACAACAGTAAACACTCTGATTGATTGATTAATCGATCGATCGACTGATTGATTGATTGGTTAACTGATTGATTGATTCCATATTTCATGAGGCAGTATATATTGTCTATTTTCTTAGTGCATGAAGTTTTGTAAGTCAGTAATTAGAATTTTATCTGGGTGACTTAACCTTTTCTTAAGGTTACTTAGCATTAAATGTAAAGTCGACCATTACTACCTTAACCACGCCAACCGTTTTAGCTAAGTTGGATCCTGCAGGATGGAAAAAAAAAAAATATGACGCGCCACTGTTTTTTTCCCAGTGGAATTAATTACCTATGAGTAGAGAGTACAAAAGAAGTGATTAAAATTATCGGAGCTTTTTAAAAGTTCATTTTGTAATGCACTGTGACGCATCTGGAACGTCTTCTTCCACTTCTGCCGCCTGAAAGAAAATGGGTAAAAAGATGAAAATAATTTTCATAAGCCACACGATATGGGCCAATAAGCCACGAGAGGCCATCGTGTTCATACTGCGTAGGATTTATTAGATGGGATATTCTTTTTCCAAAACACAAATAATGTAGTAATTATAAGGAAAAGTAGTTATGAAATGAGTACTTTTTGTAGATATGCAAGTGATTATCAGTTATGTGCGCAACAAAGACAGTTGCGAAAGAAAATCAGGCCTGAACGGGATTCGAACCCATGAGCTCTGCGATACCGGTGCAGTGCTCTAACAACTGAACTACCAAGCCAACTGGGAGCTGATCACTTTGTGAGTTCGTAATATACCCGTAGATGGTGAGGATGAAAATCATATATTTGAACTTCGGGAGTAAGACATTACGACATGACGGATCATCGCAGTTACGTAGGAAACGCAGAAGGCTTAAAACTTTAGGCAGCCTTCCGCAGTTCAAATACATGATGTTTCATGTACAAACTTGCATATCTTCACCATCCAACAAAGAATTTAAAAAGGGAACAACTAGGTATTTATTTCATGGGACAGATGTAGCCGTGTTTATGATTGTGCGGATAATAAATAGGTATAGGACTGAGCTAATCTGATTCGAGAATTTTGTTGTAGATCCTACGCATAATAAATACCGCACTAAAGGAGTTTTAATCCACTTACAATGTCGCGTTCGTGAGGAAATTTCATTGTGACGTCATCACCAATAAGTAGAAACGGAGCCCAGTTATGGATTTTGTTGACTGACTTGTCCGACTCTTTCATATATTTCATGGCCTTGTTTAAAGCTTCACTGGAACCTCTTCCTTGTACCAGGTGTTGATAGAAACTGTTCATAAACCTCATTGTGGCCTCATCTTCAATCACCCACAGTGAAACTAGAACAGAACGAGCACCTGCAGCTAGAAAAGCCCGTGCAATGCCGACAACACCTTCAGACGAGATCTTTCCTCTCCCACTATGACAACAACTTAGCACAACGAGCTTTGCTCGAACTTTAACATTTAACACGTCAGCCATCTTCAGTATGCAGTCTTTCTCCTCTAACGTCTGAGGGTTACGCCTTGAACTCGGAGCCAAAGTTATTCCACTCCCTTCATGACTACCGTGGGCTGCTATGTGTACTAAAGCAACCGCGTTCAACTGCTCGAGCACTTTTTCTTTTGTAGCTTCTTTTCCAATTAGTGGTTTAACATTCATTAATCGCCCGATCATTTCTGTTTCTTGTCTAGCACATGGAAGCCGCGAAAGATATTGCCATTCTCCACGGTACTTAAACCTAGGAATCTCTGGATCTCCCACGACAAGTGCACCACTTTCGCTGTGATAACCCTGGGGAGAATCTGCAATCACTTTAAGAGTTGTTAAGGAAGGAACGATTCGAATTCTAAAAGAATCACATAGGTCTTTTCCAACAAGATCTATCGATGCTGCGAAAGGGACCAGGCACAAAGGACCCTCCGGAACTATGACCAACTCGTCACCTTGAAGGTAGTCAGATATCGGACCAAAAACAAAGTCGAACAAAAGTCTTAATAAGGTCGAGGGACCTAGTTCTTCTTTTTCCTCGTCGTCTGAATCCTCGACAAGACGTGACACCTCACACGATCTAGTTGAGCCTATCAGGCCATTCATCACGCTCCAAAACGACATAAGATCATCAGCACCTTCCATTGATCTACTCTTAAATTGTAAACCTTTACCTGGTTGAAGCAGCCAAATGTTGATTTTATTGTTGTCGAGTCCTAAAAAAATTGTATTTGAAGAGATGTATTTCATTATAGCAGACATGGCTTCTTCCTGTTCAGATGATGGAATTTGGGCCGAGTTTGCTCCGTAATGCGAGCTCAAAAAATCCAACAGAGCTTGTGCACGCCCTTTCTCTGCTGCGAAAAGAGCTTCTAAAGTCATGTTCAGGTTTAAATAAATTCTGCATAAAGCAGTGTAGACACATTGGTATACATCAAACAAATTAATCTTCCACTCATCTTTGAAGCTGTTAGTTTGATAACGTGGAAGATCAGTTCTTATTTCCTCAAAAAGTCTTGCACTTGACTTATAATATTCCAAAGCTACCATTTCCGACCCTTGAGATTCTGAAGAGCAACCTAGCTCATAATTGGCACAGGCTTCATCAGCCTTCATGCCCTCTTCTTTAGCAATACTTAGTTGCAAATTGTGATATTCTGTGGCTTGTTTGAAATCACCGAGACTTCGAAAGACACGCCCTAAATTCCCATAAGCCTTTTCCTCTCCAACCCTATCACCAAGTTCCTTAACGATCTTTAAACTTCGTTCGTGGTACTCCATGGCCTCTTTGAACGAACCAAGCCTGTGAAACGCACTGCCAAGATAGGTTAAGGCATATCCTTCTCCAGACCTATCCCCCAATTCTATGGCAATATACCGATGTTTTTGATGGCATTCTGAGGCTTTTTCAAAATCACCACGACAATAAAACAGAGTGCCAAGGTTGCTCAGAGCCTTTCCTTCCTCGACTTTATCGCCAATTTCTTCGGCAGTGCTTAGCTGCCGTTCATAGTATTCTTTAGCTTCATTATTTCTACCGACACTGTTGTAAGCATTGCCTAATTTGCCATATGCCTGTCCCTCGCCGGCCTTATCCCCTTGTTCTTTGGAGATACCAAGGTACTTTTGATAACTGTCGATTGCGTCTTGAAATTGGCTGAGTTCCGTAAACGAATCACCAAGATTGAGATACAGAACTCCTTCTCTCTTTCTGTTTGCTACTTTTTTGGTAATATCAAGGTTTAATGGAGGGAATGCCATTGGACTTTGATAATCGTGAACCTATTTAGAAAACAGAACAGAATATTAGGAGTTCCCAGCTATGAAACCACTTTGACTCATGCTAGACTATTGTTTGATTCTCCACAAACTCTTACGGGCTCTCGCTTACAATATTAAACCCACCGTCGTAAGTTCTAAATAGATTAACAAGGTCCTCGGCAATCTTCAAAAGAAAACCTCATGAGATGTATGGGATAGGATCGTCTTTCCAGTGGGATATAGAACGCTTAAGAAGAGTCCTTGGCCGTAGAGTTCAGCTGGCTGGTAAAGTCAAACTTGTATTAGGCGGACACCCTCGGGACCAGCGCTAGTGTCCGCTTAATACAGGGTGTCCGTTGAAAACAGGTTCCCCCAGAATTCGTCTTAACAGGGACATATTAATATTCGTTAGTATTAAAAGACCTTGAAAGGGTCAAATAGCACTCTCATGAACGGTCCAGAACTCTGAAATACCGTATTTCCATAAACAATGACAAGTATATGAGGTAAAGCGATTTAAGTATACAGTAATAGTATCTATATTGACCGAATCATGTGAAGGTTTACAAAATCAAACGAGAACAAAATTTCTGTAAAAACAAAACCGAATAACAAAATATTGCATTTCTGTGACAGCTCGGTTTGTTGGCAAACTTAAATGACCGATCTACTAGAATGTGGACAAAAATATCATGCATTTGATACAAGTTTTTAACGATAGAAATGATCATAAAAGTCAAGTTTAAGGTGTCCGCGTCCGCTTAATAGAGATGTCCGTTGAATACAGGTGTTTTTTACAGTGAATGTGGAAAAAGAAAAATGGGACTTGCACTGCTGTCCGCTTAATAGAGGGTGTCCGCTTAATATGGGGTCCGCTTAATACAGGTTTTACTGTATAATGTGATTCGATAAGAGGAACATTCAGCAATAACTATCGAAACTCACGTTCCTCCCCGTAAAGTGTTTTCGTAACCACGACAGTAGAGGCTGTCGAAACATGTCTTCCTCGAAAGGTAGTTGCATTTTTTTTCTATAAAAATCTCTTCCCTCCTTCTATCAAAATCGTCTAGCCAATAAGTGATTGATGGACACCAAAATCTGAGGTGCTCTCGAGCAGGGTGTAGTCTATTTGCCTTTGTTTTCTCCCTTTTTTCGCCTTCTTATTCTTTTAATTTGATTCTTTTAATTAAAGTTTTTAGTTTAATCCAGTTTTAGAAAAGGTCGACCATATTACCCCTATAAGGGCATCCATTTAATAGAATTATCTGGAACTCCAAAGTTATTATCTACCAATCAAAATAAGCCGTGAAAATACGTTCCTCCACCTTTCATTAAACACTCTAAAACGAGTCCTTCAATCCTTGTTCCCTCTAAAGCCTCTCGGGAGCAGCCGCCCAAACGTAAAATTCGTAAAATTTCTCATATGCATTTATGTATCACAGAGCCTCTCTGGCTTCAACGGATAAGGCCTAGCGTGCTTTACGATACAAAGTAAAGTTTTGTTGCGTACAGTAGCCTCGTTTGGTGTGACTCCCTTTTCGAGTTACCTTGTGCAGTTGTGCCTCTGCTTCAAAACGAGTCCTTGAGCAATACCTTTCATATGAAAGTAAATTTGATTTGCATGAAAATGAACCTGTAGGCGGAACACACTTTCATATGAATGGTTTCACAGAGGCAAAAGCCAACTCGAAAATGACCTATTGATTTTATACAGGATTTCCCCCTCCCCGTTAAGTTCTGATGCTTTGCATTGTCCGACAACTAAAACTCTTTTAGCTTTGGGCCATGCGATCATTTCACTTCCTTGTTTACCTTGGTTTGAATTTCCTTCATTTCCTCTCTGTTTGGTTCCAAACGTTCGCTTTGTCTTGCGAGAGACTCCTCCTTTATACCTAACAACGTCTGATTGTCCTGGTCAATCTTTTTAAAGTCAAGGTATTGTTACATGCTACTGTATCAACGGCGCTATTTCATCACTTCTTAACCGGCTATACGAGAAAGTTCTCTTAAGTCTGGTTCATACTAGCGACATAACGACAATGCAAACCAAAACCAGTCGTAACTCACTTGTACACGTCTTTCCGCGCTTCGCTTATATTTGTTTGGAGTTATGATTGTTTTTTTTTTGAAGTCTTATTGACCAGAGTAATATTTGTTTGGTTTTGGTTTGACGATACTCAAAGTAGCCTGAAATGTCAGCACGTCCGTCATCTTTCGCCCTCAGCCAGGAGAGGACTCTGGGAACGGGGTTGTCTCAGTCTAGTTTACAGGGATTAGGCTGAGGGCGGGAGATGACTGGCATTTCAGGCTATAGTCAATTAAAAACCGCTCTAAGGCGTGAACACTAAGATCAAACTTGACCGGATATCAGCGAGGTTTACTTACAATTCTTTGAACGAAATCAAATAGTGCGCAATATCTCAACTTTTTGCATAACGGGTCTAAAAGAAAAGAATCGGCGTCAATTTCTACCCCTTGGCTTAACTTTTTGTCTAGAATCATCAGCTAAGACTGTTTAAATTTGTTTTCCCTTCGATTGTTGCTATCACATTGAGTACATTACATCGCTAATTTAAACAGGTCATCGAAGGATACTGCAAGTCCGCCATTGCACCATGTAATGGCTTCTTCAAACAGATTCAACTCCACACAGGCTTGTGCTCCTGAGGAAAGGAAAGCCGTACAGTCTCAAGTTGCAATAATTTAAGAATTCATGAATGTGTGAATTACAGTCGAACCTCCACTAACGGCCAACCTCCCTACAACGGCCACCCCTCTCAGCACAACGGCCACTTTTTTTTGTTCCGGCGGACGGCCCATACATTCACTCTTATTTTTATCTCTCTAACACGGCCACCTCTCTACAACGCCAATGGCCCCTAAAGTGCGTCCCCACTACCAAACAAAAATATGCACAACGGCCAGTTAATCAACGACTGACTAAAGGTGTGTACAAAACCCCGTGTTATATTGTAAAAGGTCACGAAACTTGATCCCAACCGCGCGTCGTTGGTCTCTGTTTCTGTTTGGTTTCTTTTTTACTGCTCTATTTTGATTACGTTAGGTATTTCTTTGCTACAGTCAGCATTTTTGAAATATAAAAATGTTGTACCCTCCGAAAAAAACAGGTGTCATATTACACCCCTATACCTCCCCATAACAGCTTCCTCTCTATAACGGCCACTGCAGTAAACTTTGCACTCGCTAACGACTCCAGGTGTGTACTAATGCTTAGTATGGTTTCGTGTTTATTAAGTTTTTTCCAACCAATCAAAATCAATGAACGGCAAAACCACTATAGTGACTTCACAGCGGTCAAACTCAAAAATTGACGAGTTCAACCAGTTCAACTATTGCTACACAGCCAAGCACACGACATACATGCAAGAAACATCGTCTGAACAATTTATGAATAGCAAATATATCAGGCCAAGGACTGCATTCACCAAATTTGAGGGATGCAACTGTACTAAAAAGCGTCCAATCGCATTGTTAATTCTCCATACATTTGTCGATAATTGTTTCCTCGAACTTTTATTCATAAATTGTTCAGAATTCAATTTTTTAGCAAATGATTTTCCACAGGATTCTAACAGAAAAAACTGTCAGTAATTTCTGATGCTTGTCGCCAACCCATCAAGATGGCTTCCAAAACCGTGATAAGGTCCGTTCGATTTGCACTACACTACACTACACTTTCATTGACTAATAGTATAACGTCACCTGCGGTATAGGCCCTTGTGCACGATGGATTAAGTTTTTTTGAAGCTTTTGCGTCGCTCAGTGCCTCATTGAAATTTCCTGTCGAAGGTAAAACAAAGGTAGAAAAACTGAATAGCTATAAACAGAGTAAAACTAAAGTTAAGTAGACTTCTGCAAATTTCTGGTAAATAGACAGACAAATAAGAATAAACAAGGAAATAGAGAGCGTTTTAAACCAAAACCAAAGTAATCACCCTTAGCCAATCATAAAGAACAAAAAACAATCCAGTGAGCCAATCAAAACTTGAAGCAATTCAAATACATGTAGCCGACGCAAAACGCGCGAAAACCTGTGCGTGCGAGTCACAATTGCTGTTGGTTTCTGATTAGATGAAAAAGTGGTGCGAGTTTTTTAAGCCAATCATATAGCGTAATAATGAAACAATCACTTTTCGACACTCGTCTGAGTGTAAAACAACAAAAAATATAGAATAAATAGTAAAGCACTCTGCCTAGGACGACTCTTGTTTGAGGCTATCACCAAATGCTTGTTACCCTTCAAAGACTATACCAAATGGCCGGCTTTTTAATATAGAGCGTTCTCACTCACGTGGGAATTAAGCAGCCATGCAAACTTATTGGAACAAAAGAAATTTTTTACATAAGAAAATAGTTCAACTCCCACAAGATTGGTTCGAGACAACAAGCGTTTAATTATCTTCCGACGCCAATATGGCTGCCGTGACGTCACGCGAAAACACTCTATATGCTTCATATAGTCTATCACTACGTTATATACTCACCCAAAAAGTAATGTGTTGTTGCCCGGTTGCTGTACAGTTTAGCGTTCAGCTCTTTATCTTCGCATTTTACTTCAATTCCTTCCGTATAGGAGTGTATAGCATTCTTGTATTCATTTTTACGAAATTCTTCGTCGCCTTCATTGTTACAGACCTCTGCTATTCCTGAAAAAGGAACAGGTTTTCAAGGGGTTGAATATTGAAACATGTCAGTCCCACAATTGTCGCCAAGTGTCCACGAAGTGTCAGGAAACAAGGATAAAACCTACCGATCTTGTTTGTCTGAGGCAATTAACTGCAGGCAACATTGAAGTTTTATTCTTCTCTCTTCTTTTTTGACTCTTCTCACGAGCCCTATTGCTAGTAACTGAACAACTCGCGAACTTCTCTTTCACGCTAAACTGTTTGCCGAACGAAGAACAACAAACCAAAGATCGCATGTCAGTTTCGGCATGCCAAAATTAATCGGCAGTCCCAAACACCACCTTTATGAAACCAAGAAATTTCAAACTATTGAAAGATCTCGACCGTTAAAAACAGAAAATGCTAAGCCTATGTTTAGACGCAAAAAAGTAGATCGAAGCAACCAAGTTTGAAAAGGGCCGCGTATTCGCGGGCGTTTGACGAATCACAGCACGCCTAATGATACTGTTTTTTCTATGGCATAATAATATGAATAGCATGACAGAAAAAAATTTCTTGATCATAATAATAATAAGCTGAAAGACTAACAGATTTATACTAAAAAAAAAAAATGGAATAAATTCGCCCTCGATTGTATGCGTGATATATACATGTCGAGCTCGTACTCTAATGTTATAAAAATGTAATTTATCTTTACCTCTTTTTTCCCTTAGCGTGAATTGCAAACTGAATTAATGTAATCGTAAGTGACAAAGTGCTATATTGTAATTATCTTTGTTTTTTTTTCTTAAAAAAAAGTGTGTTTTGATAATAAAAAAAATACCGTGCGGTTTTTCTACAGACCTCCACGAGGCAAAGACCTACCCTTAAATGAAAATTACTACTTAAGTCTGGAGTACAGACCATAGCGCTATCCTGGCTTACTAATTAGGCAGAAGTTCAGTCCTCGGTTAGCTTGACTAGTCATCCGGTTGGCCTGTTTACGGCTAGTTGTCAATGATAATAATGACGACACGATATATATGCTTAAAAAAAATCCGCACTTGCGTAACATTTTTCATTTTGTTGTGATCTATGGCCTGGTTAAGCACAAGAAAAAAACAAACATTTTCCTTTTTCTTGTGCTTGCGCTTCTGCTTATTTTACTGGTGTTATGTTTATTTCACAAGCGGGGAACTGGCGTGAAATAACAGTTGCGGATCTAGGGGAGGGGCCCAGAGGGCCTAGGGCCCCCCTTATTTT